GGGGGGTGTGCTGCTGCTTGCTTTGGCTGGGGCGTGGTGGCAACACCCGGAAAGGCCAAGGAAAAAGTTTAACAAAATTTGTTTTCTATGCCTGCATGGCGAGATCTCGAGGCCATAATTTGGTAATTTTACAAATTTAGTAGTAAGAATAATCAAATATGGAACTATCAAATCAAAATATATATATAATTTGCGGGGGTGCAAAAACTTTTGGGGGCGGTGCCAAATGCCTCTGGGGGGGAGGGGATGCAAATCAAATTCGTGCCTGCACTGAAATGGATAAATTTATTCTTATAATGTACTGGCTGACTTATAAAGGCCAAGTGAGGTCACTGCTTTGCAACTTGAGTTCCTGAGGACTGAGGTCAGAGGTCCCAACGAACAGCCCTGCTACAGCCAGCTAGATTTGATCATTTTCTAAAACTCAAGAATGGCTCACACATCTGTTCAGTCATTGACTTAACTATCATCGAGACGCCAAAGTTTAAGTGAAGCAGGCATAAACTGCAATTTACCCAATCTCTCACAGCCTAATTAGGACCCTAAAAAACGGCGTCCCGCGTGCTCAGTCGCCGAAAGTCTAACTACTTTATGTTGCGAGCAGTGCTACATGCCTTCAGGAATTTATATATTTTACACGTTCTAATACCAAGCATGGTCATGCGGGGAAGAAAGAGATCATATTTACATAACGCTGGTCAGTGGGTGACACTATCTCATCTGTTGTGTCAGTGACGTCACCTCGCGCAATCAAGCTCAATTTGACGCAGGGCGCTTATATACCTATATATAAGCGCCCTGATATATAAACGCCCTGATTTGACGCGTGTACACTAATCCTGTCTGCAATATTTCATCCATTTTAAAATCACTTAGATGAAAGTTTTTGAAAGAGGTTTACACTGATGCACTTTGACTAAACTGTACTTTTTTTATCAAAGAATTTCCTGCAGGTTAAATATCAACCTATATATAGTACAAGCAAGAGACCAAATCTTGATACATTTTTCAATTTTAGACATTGCATTTCCAAATAGATCTCAATCTTCAAGAGTAGCAGTCGGTACAGATTTTGGCAAGATGTAAAACCACCCCCTTTCTCATTTTGCGGGGGACTTTAAATTTCCTTAATCACTTCATAATTTCCTTTGGGGATAGCAGATAAATTAAATAAGGGCTGGCCCGCTATTAAATCTATTTTAAAGCCATCATCATCAGATCATCAGAAACATGATATCTGACATGCACATGTAGAGAAAAGCTCAATACTTTGTTAGTATAAAGTAAGTTTATACCAGTGGGTTTGAGCATTCAGTGAACCGAGGTGACACTCTACCAATTTAGTCATTGAGTTAACTTATTAAGAGAAAATTATTGAGAAAAATTATTTACACAAATGAGATATTATCGCAACTTTTCAACTTTATTTTTACGACGGCATTTATGTAACCACTGAAGAAGCATGATGTAATATATACATGCGGAAAAAAATTAATGTCGACACCGCACAGCATTGAGTTTCACTGAAGAAATCAGCAATATCGCCTATATAAATATATGGCTTGTTTTGGGCAAGAACCCGCTATAAACATGTACGAGGATCATGGTGAATGACTTGTATATGCATTGCTTGTGATAGTAACCTTTGCATGACCACTGCTGAATATATAATGAACCATATACGATTTTACGCAGAAGTCTAAATTACTGTATGAAAAAAAAACTGTCTATATATGTATATGTTTGTTTTGACAAGTTTATACACGGTACGCGTGGACTATGCACATGCCTGACCACCCTACAGCGTCATTAGATATGCGTGTCCTATTGTCTCTGACACGTGGCCGAAATAAATTACCGGCGTTAGGGCCACATTGTGGGCTGGGGAATACGAGCTAGCGTAAATTCGATCGAAAATCACTATGTTTTTCTAATGTTTTATCAAAACCCTTCCGAAAATGCGAAACTGACCGCATAGGTCTCATTAACTTAGGCTTGTCAATTCTCTGCGGTCACATGCAAAAACTTCGTGTGTCGGCCCGCTGTGGCCTGTTGCTATGGCTACCGTACGTTAACCAATCAGAACGAAGTGTTGCTAAAATTGGCATCCGGCGTCTGATATGTTATGATGGCTTGACGTGTCAATAAAATGCACGAAAGCAGCGTCGCTCGTCGGATTGAGGGGAATAAAACCACAGAGATCATTGCTAGTCAGTTACTTTACAGCGTCGAGTCAGTGAAGACGAACTGACCTAGCGATCTTCTGATCTCATACAACCAATTCAAAGACGATCTCGGTTTAAAACACCGTGTGTGTAGTAGCCAACACAAGGATTAATATTCTCGTATATTTTATACAACGTGAATCAAACGGAGTAACGCGGATTTTTTTCGGTTCGCTGACTGACTCATATCAAACCGGACTTCCTGAATCAAGAACTATATCTGACACAGGACTACGGGTTCGATTTGTAGATTAAAAAATACGTCCAACGCGAAATCTGACTGCTAAGATTGCTACGTAGGAAAAAACGTTGACCAAGAATCAAGATTTGCAATCGTGGACGACTAACTTGATGCGAATACGTTTCAAAGGTACGAATATAAAGCCTGAACTTTAAATCCATTCTATTATTTCGGAAACTCGTCGTTTCAAAGTTAAAACCTCGGAGAAAGCTAGTTTTGTCGAGTCAAACGTTGTTATTAGATCAAAAGTTGATCAACTGAACTCAACAACAGCTGAACCGTGAACCGCGCTTCGAAATTTTAACGGTCAACAAATCAACGACCACGCGTGCCAAGTTGATCGCCTCCTGCATAGGCGACGGAAAGTTATCTACGTTCTCTAAAGTTGAACGGAAAACGCGTTTGAGAGTTTGGACTCAAGTACCGGACAATTAGCTTGAGTTTTCGAGTAGTTTTGTGTGCGGGAAAGCGAGAATATTGTAGTTTAATTCCGGTGGTTAAGTATTATATTGAATCCTGGAAAATTACGCGAGGATGGTATTACAAGGTAGCAACGGGCAGCCCAATGCGTCCTGCGCCTTATCCACGGCGCAAAATAAAAATTCCGACAGCAAACACGACATCAAGACCGATAAAAGTGATCATGTGAACAGTAAGAATGATCACGTGAAACGTCCGATGAATGCGTTCATGGTCTGGTCTCAAATTGAACGTCGTAAAATGGCCGAAGAACATCCCGACATGCACAACGCCGAGATCAGCAAACGCCTGGGAAAGCAATGGAAGCTACTTAGCGAAGCGGAGAAACGACCGTTCGTTGAAGAATCGGAACGCCTTCGTATCCGACACATGCAGGACTACCCCGACTACAAGTACAGGCCACGGAAGAAGAAGAATCCGAAGAAGCCAAACTCGGAACCACAGAAACCTCTTCCCACAACGATCGACCAACTTGGCTTCCAAGTAAGACAGGTGCCGACCATGGGGCACCCCAAATCAAACCCCGCCTATAATTTCGTCCCGGACGCACGGCTCTTTAATAACGAAATTGGCAACATGAAACAACGGTTCGAAAGCTTCGCGACCGTACCTATGGTAAACCAACCCGTACGGAGTGTACCCGATTCCATCTTAACCAGCCCCGATGATCATATCGACCAGTTATCACTCTACGAAGATTTTGACCAAATGCCCGATCTACACGGCATCAAGAGACAGTTAAATGCGCCAGCACAAGTACCTACAAGTTGGCCCAACCTTGAACTTTCAGGCCTCAATATTAATAACCTCTCGCCACTATTTAATACAGGAACTTCGCATTTTGACTTTCCCGACATGTACACACCACCCGAAGTTTCCGAACTTATCCAAGGCCAATGGTTAGAAAATAGCCTTGGGCAAATCACGAACATGTAGGAGATCTATTCTAGAACTTATTGTTGCAATTAGTCGGATTAGCGATGTATTCTAATTGAACTCGTTGTTACGAATATCGTAAATTCTAGTAAAGTAAGATTGTCGATATTTATTTATGAACCTTAGGAGTTAAGTCGGCCTTATATAGTCGAGATATTGTTAACTATAGTTCCCCGCAGTGCCGCAGAATTGTTGTGAATAAACTTAAATTGACGAAATGCGCTCGATATTTGCCGTTAAGGCTTAAAATAGCCTTTTGTCGAGTCTTTAAGTCATTAAAATACTCTTTATTTTCAAGCTGTATAGACATGATTTCGCAACCCCCCAAAATAGCGAGTAAATTTGGCGTCCTCTTTCGAAGGATGAAATCCAAAAGAAACGTATTCTAAAACAACCATTTTAAATTTAAATTGCCATCTTTATTTTTATGGATTTTCTTTGAAATTTACATATTGGCCAAAATGACGAGCCGGTAGCTATATGATCATTGATCAAACATTTCGAAGTAATTAAAAGTTGTTGAACTTGTGGATAACATGGGACCATGTTAACTTACATCAACAATTAACATAGAACTGTTGCATTTCATCAAACTGGTTAACATACACGTGTGCAATATGAAATTACTTTTAACGAGCGATTCTGATAGGGGGGCTATAGTTTACCTAAATGTATATAGATTTAAACGCAGACAAGCTTCGCACATAATAGCTAACAAATTTTATACATAATATTACCATACGTTGTAAATTTTATGAAGTGTGAATTTTTTATTTATTGAATAATGTATTATGAAAAAAATGTGAGTTATTATTGTTGTATTTATGCCGTCAATGAAGATTGATTAAATTTTACTTGAAGTCACAATCCTTTTAATGTTGCCATTGGCGAAGCACTTAAAATGGCAGCCATGTGTTGCTAATTGGGTCAACCAATATCAATTGGGAAATTTGTGCTTCATAGCTTATAATAGAATACACACACATGAGAAAACCAATTATCAACAAAAAATTTTTCTCGTTGATATATAAATTATCACGTCCCCCGATGGCGAATATGGCTGAAATTGAGTTGAAACACTGGTCCTTGAATAATGTATAAGTTGCGACGATATCTCGCACGCTTATAGTCGATATAGATTACATTTGAACTTGTCGTCTCGACCTCCTTGAATGTGTAGCGCAGTTCAAGCATGAGCCGGATACTCTCAATATAAGAATTCAAATCTTGTCTTTATGTTGACCACGCATGCAGAGCCCTTTCCATCATGGCTTTGAAATTTGTTTACTACAAGCTTAAATAATAAAGACCCAAAATAAAGGCTTGATGAGTGTTCCAACTATGTTTAACTTAAATAGAATACATGATAGTGTTGGGAAAGCATTAAGAAAAGCTAACCAAACTCGCGTGACAGTCAACTCTCATGTACTCTCAACCTCGTTTCATTCGGGCATAAGTTTGGCAAAAGTACTCCATTTAAAAATACAAATCCTTCGAATTAGAAGTTTTGAAGAATAGTCTTTGAAGATTTTGCCAGAACATTTTGTGAGCATACTACATGAAGGTTACTTTCTTAGGAGTCACAAAAGAATTAGGATAGGACAAAAGCTCTTAAAGATTTCAGTGCTATACACACTTGAAATGTTGGATCGGTGTCAGCGTGAACAACACCAAGGACTTGTATCTGAAGCTGACCGCTTTGGATAATGATAGGCCACGGTTTGCCGAAGAATTTTGGTTGTGCATGGTTAACGGTATAAATATCGGCAAAATATTGCATTAACACAATTATACGCCCTCAGTATTGACTGAACCCCCTTGGCTGTTTTGGCCCCTCATTGAGAAATGTTCGAGTGTAGTTCCTCCGCTCATGAAGGACCCGCTTATCCGCGCTCCGCAGGTGGTTAATCCCCTTGCTGCGATCTTCACAAATGTGGAGGAAACCTTGGCATGCATTTTAATCTATTCTCTGAACAAGACTGAACGTCCTTCGCTCATGTACTCAAAAAGTCGAAATCATTTTTTTACCTTGACGGGTTCCTTGGCAAGTTAATCCGATTTGTGTTTTATTGCTATCTTGTATTCCTTGTATATCAATTTTTGCTGTGAAGGAAACATTTCTAGTCAGTACAGGGTCAGGGTATAGTTTTAAGAAGAAGGTTTGTGCCAATGAAGGTGGTGGCAATAATAGGAAAGCTTCTGATTGATGGGAATACAAGGAGAATTTCCACATTTCGACCGAAGGCCCTTTTGCCTGTATTCTAAAAGTTCACTCACACTCAATGAGTGGAGGTTCAATCTGAGCTTTTCTTGAGTGTCAATGCTGTTTTTGAATAGCTGGAGGGTGAGTAGTCACATAGTGATGTACGACACTGAACCCTTCAGCTATTCAAAAACAGCATTGACACTCAAGGGAAGCTCAGATTGAACCTCCACTCTTTGGTGTAAGATTTTAGAATACAGGCGTTAGTCGTGAAATTAGGCCTTCGCATGAAACGAAGGGCCTCAGTCACTCGAAACGTCGAAGTTCTCCTTGTATTTTTCAGGTAGTTGCAGACCTTATCAATCTGAATCCTTCTTGCTTTTAAGAGAACCAATAATACCATGCATGCAACCCATTACATTACATCAGCTCACTCCCCATTGGGGATTTTCGGCGACTGATTACATCCAAGTATATTACGCTTATGTTACTTACTTAGCCTAGAGTCTAGATTATTTAACTTAACAACATTTGAGATATTACTTTCCTAACTGGGTTTATCCTAACCCAACCCCGCCAACTTGCCCTGCAAGTGGGTAGGAAACCGGAGCGCCCGGAGAGAACCCACGACTTTCGGCAGAGCGTTGACTGACTCGTTTCACATGAGTCATGAGTCCGTAGCGAGAAATGAACCCACGAATTTAGAGGTAAAAGAATGAAAGGCGCATAAGATGAACAGAGGAACAGTTAGGTTTGTGATTGGGCTCAAGATCAAAGAGAAACATATATTCGTTCACGAAACATTACGATATAAACTTCATGTGCGTCTGTGATGTTAAAAACAGGCACGCATGAAAACGAGGTCATTGGGGTTCAAAAGCTCAATAAACAGGCAAAGTCTATTATTGGATCGAAATGTTTTTAATGTGTAATTATAATGTTATGCTAAAAATATGGCGAAAGTCGAAAAGAAAAGTCCTTTTTGTACCGATGTTAAACGTTATTTCAAAATAGAAACTATTATTATATACATCTTATCTTTTGCGTGACATTTTAATTCTTCAATCATGTAAATTTTTTTCAATCGCCGCCATATCCAGCCATGCAGGCTAAACGCTCTTAATTATAGAATTTGGCGAAACACACACATCGTTAAATGGTCTTAATTATTTTACTTGGGTGGGCAAAAGCCAGAAAAAGATTTATATCCAAACTGACCTCCATCGGATGGAATTCATAAAGGAGTTGTTGTTTGCAGGCTAACTGGTGGTATCCCTCGCAAACCTGTAAATAGATGACAAATCGATTAGGAGATGAAAAGCAAATGAATATATTATATACAGCTAAGTCAACAACATGAATTGATTTTGGCAGGTATACGATATGTCACGAATCGCAATCTGATGAAATCATAGCCATGTATTGATGTTGGCTAGTTTAAACTTTAAACATTTGTCGTCATCAAACTAATTCACAATAAACAAGACTTTTAATAAAATATACAACGAAACAGATTCCGAATAGGATTCAAATCTTGTCTGTTTGAAATTTTGGCAACAATTTCCTGTCCAGTAATTTCCAAACAGTTTCATAATTTTTGGAGTTGAAATTTACGAACGCAAACCTATATAGATTTTTAGGCCTAGTCAGGAGCAGTTACGAATCTATAGGCCCTCGAACCTGCGGCCCGGCGCCCTAGCCAACTGGGCTATGCGATTTCCTTCTTCTGGTGGATCTAAACGAGTGGGTAAGCTATGAATGTTCAGATGAGAGTACATGTATAGGAAGAAGTTATTTTGCTGACCTCAAAATGACATTTCGTCAAAACTTTTTTCTTCAAGATTGGTTTAGAAACAAACTTGGAGTAGGGTTAGGTTAGGGTTGGTGTTTGGAATAGGGTTCTGTTAGTAAAACCGTTGCCTTGTTAGTTGTTACGTTTTGTCACTCTGAGGCCAGCGAAATAACCTGTGCATGTACTCATAACCGTTATCTACTCGTTCACAGGCATCAGAAGGAGAACATCGAACTTCTATTTGCAGATTTGCAGTATTACCAACCATTTATTTAATTCTGCGCAAAATTACACATAAACTAATTAAATGCTGTCGTAACATCGATAACGCAGATTATCCTTGGGTACAATTGTACAAATGCAGTCCAGTCTGAATCGAAAGAGCACAAAACCCGGTTCAAGGAGTCGATTCCCACAAACATTTCTTATAAATCCTCTAAAGCAAGCAACTTCTAATATTCAGTGCAATTTTTAGTACTAACTTATATAACATAACACTGATCTAATACGTAAAAGTTTTGACCTGGATAAGATTTTGACAAGTTTTGACCTGGATATTCATTATATAGAAAAGCTGATGATTTCAACTATGGCATTGCTATATTCACTGATCATGTTATCATTGCGTGCAGACTACATATCTCGCGACAAAACAAGTGCGGGTATAAACATAACCATTACAGGACATTAATCTAAAAATCAATGACCCTATTAAATCAAACAAAAGCCAAAATCCTGACTTCAGCAAGCGTTATTATAAAAGTTAGGAAAATTGCTAAAAGTTTGCTTTGCATAACCTATTCTTCTTAACTTGCACTAGATTTTTCAAGTATTGCATAAGACGCGTATATACATTAGTCATTATACGGTATTCCGATTCAGGGTGGTTTGTTTGTCTTGATCTTTCGATCGACGGACTTCGACCAGCGGAAACCTGCTGCAAGTGATTAAATATTCATACTGTTTTGCTATGTGAGATTTGAAAATCATTGCAAAATCCTGACTCATTGAACATCATCATTAATGAATTTATACGAGGCCCTAAAGTTACATCACTGCATGTGTAGTTACATCATTTGTCTTTCTCTTCATTCAAGTCCATTTGAAAACCGTAACCTAGCTTTAAGGGAAATTTATAATTTTTCAGTCCACTGCAGGTGACTAATTTTAATCGGTGACTGGAAACAGATACGTTTGATGGAGCATCCGTGTAAGGAACCAAATCCCTCTCTTGTTTCAAAAATAAATTGCTACTCACACCTTTGACGTAACATTACAATAACCTATGTTGTTAATAGATCAATATACAATGTATAGCTTAGTTCTTTTCTAAATCCCTGTAAATTGCTTACTTCTACTAGTTTCAGTTTAATATTTTTTGCACGCCCCTTGTGGAAAGCAGCTTTAAGTTGATATGGTCAGCATGTTTAAATAAAATGTTTACTACTATATGGTAAAAATCTGTCTCCTTAGGAAGACGACCTCGCTATCAGTTTGTTCTGTTCAACATGCACCTACATTATTTAACTAGCTATAGGCCGATGAAAGTACTATAGGGCGAAACATTAGTTAATATGAGTTTTTGTGTCTGTGATATGTCAGTGACATTTGCCTCAGCGTCCAGTGAGAAGAATGTTTCCAATTTGTCCCTTCAAAAACCACAGCTTCTCTTTATGTACCCCAATTTCCTCCTGTTGTAAAGGTTGGTTTATACCCTATCCAAGTTTTTGTGACCACAGTAGGAAATTTTGCATCGGTAAATGTTTAAAGGTTTTGTTTGAGATGTTTTGATTGGAACTAGCTAACTCACTCAGTGTGAAACACTAGGTCAGTTCTTTCAAACATTTCTTACAAATCCTTCAAAACTTAGAATTTACCTATGCAAAATTCCTACTGTGATCACAGAAACTTTGATAGTGTTAACCAGACGATGAACTACTGGACATGAATCTAGACAAAACTGTTTGCAACCAAGAATTATCGAGTATAATTACTTTTATAGTTCCTTAATACTGAATCATTAAACTTCAAGCTCAGATATATTTAGTCTATACAGTCATTTCGTGTAAAGACTTTGAAATAGTCACATACCACGACGTGATAAATTTTGACATGCACTGCAGTGAACCTTTCAAGATGCACTTTTTTAAAAATTTGTTTTATTTTAATATTTACATCCATGAGCAAGGAGCTATTAAACTCCTGATTGAGTTTTTGTGATGTAAAATGCGCGAATTTTCTCTCTCGAAATTCACCTGCCGACTTGCATAAGTTTTAAAAATAGTATACTAAAAGTTTACGCCAAATATTATTTTGACAGTCGGGTCGTAATATTGCAGTCATTTCGTAATAAGATCAGAGAGCGTATTTATCATTAGAATCAAGGTTATATTAACGATATGCTCGAAGCGCTGGGAAGCCACAGGTGCATGGCAGATGTTAGATTGTCCGACTTCCCGTTGCCTGGCAACACACCATGCTTGCGACAGGTGGCAGGAAGATGTTTCACCACGTGACCAGCAACGCGAGGCAGCGACCAATCAGAAACTGGTACCTTGATATATACGCGCTTGTTAACTAAATATTAGCAATATACGGCGCTGCTATAAGTGATTTTAAGAGCGTTTTAAAGCCTGACGCTTTCGTTAAATAATTTGGCGGAAATTTCGGCTCGTCAAACATCCTACAGCAGACAGTCTAATTTGTTTGGAATGAATCTTTGTTTACACATGTACAAAACGACAAGCAACATTATATTGTCTTGTGTAGGCCTACAACAGCTTTCGTATTTGAAATTGAGATAGCTTTCTACAGTACATGCAAAAATATTAATGTAGACATGTGAGTAAGATACCCTGGACAATTTCTGTCCTATAATAGAGTTCTTTGGAAATTGAGATGGCTTTCCACTGGGCATTTACAAGGCAATGCAGACATTTATATTCTTGCAATTTCTTACTACACTTTTTGACTTCACAAACGGCTTAAAATTTCAGTGTTTTCAGTCTTTGCGAAAGAGTGAATTAAACCACTAACCAGTCAATTGAGAAATTAAGTTTATTATTCGGACTTGCAAGTGTACAAGTATATTTTCTGAGAATCATTCTGGCAAATAGTGGAATTTCCATCTTTTGGAAATTAGGATGTCATATCACATATGTGATATGATGTTAATTAACATAGATGCCGGTTTATGGCTGGTTCAAAAGTTCCTGCGATCACAGTGGCGTCACTAAACTCTAACAAGTTTGCTTTTACAATTTCACGTGCATATGATATGTGTACAATAAACTGAAGTTCGCCGTGTTTATCTTGTCCAAATTAAGCTTGCTTCACTATAGCTTTTACAAACGAGACTTACTTGTCAAAAAACTGTCGACCGTATGATAAGTATCTCTGCTTGTGTCGTCTGACAATATTACACCTAACATGACGCTCTTGAAAATTCACGTCAGGCGCAATATAAATATTGTACACGCGAGAAAATTTATCACAGCGGACTATATATATATATATATATATGCACGGCAAAGGCTTCCATCTCATGAAAAGCTGCAAGGCTTGATCGTCGCGGTCTTAATTCAATTTCAAACGATTGAAATGCGAGGAAAACTTGCTATGCAAACTTTGACAAAATTGTTGAGAACATCGCACGAAATATTCCAAAGTCAATGAAAACAGGCGTACTAATAGCCGCAGACCGTGAAATTGGTGAAAAAGCGAGATGAATCTATAGACATAGTCCGACGGCAGTTTGGAACTTGAAAGCCCTGAATAGTTTTGACGCAGTCACAAACGTTGACGCTTCCGTTGATTCAGACCACGGTTCAGACGACCGCAGAGTCATAACAAATTATTAGTATAATCTTCCAAACAAGATATGGCCATTTTTAAATTAAACTATTAATCGTTGCTACTCTTAGCAGATGGGGACGCGTTGTAATTATACACAATTCTTGATATTATGTAACAGTCAGTGAGTTCTCGGCGTCGCCATGAAATAGAGCTATTAATATAATAATATACACTCCGTATGTTATTGGAATAATTATAATACTACTCGAACCGCGTATATGTGTGTTTGGAGTCCTCAGGAAACCTCAGCCCCTAAAGTATATAGCATATTGAACGAATTTTCACTAGATTTTTCACGATTCCACTGTTAAAAAATTTCACACCATTTTTTACGATTACGAAGAAAATTAAAAATGAGCAAGTAAGATACTTTGGCAAACTTTCTTAGCTTACTTCGTTTTGAGATATTTAACAATTTTGGATGTGCAAATTTTTTTCACTGCATGTGACGTCACATGGCATAATGACTTTCTGAAAAAAAGTCAAGATTTTGGGTGCATCAAAATTATGAAACCGTTCATAGGTATTATATATATATTCTATGGTGATACATTTGAATAAGAGTAAAATCTAATATAAAACCTCACATACCTTTTATAGTTTTTGCCGTAATCTGTGTATCAAGACACAATAGAATTAAAATCCTGTGAAAAAACAAAAAGAACAGAGAAGATTTCCGTCCCACTTACCACATTTGCACTAACTGGCTAGCTAATTAGTTCACTAACTAATTAACGAACAAACTAACTGACCATAACTATCTAACTAACTAACTAACTAATTCACTAACTAACTAATTCACTAACTAACTAACTAACTAACTAACTAACTAACTAACTAACTAACTAACTAACTAACTAACTAACTAACTAACTAACTAACTAACTAACTTACTAACTAACTAACTTACTAACTAAGTAACAGACTATAACTTTCTAACTATCTGATTAATTAACTAACTATCTGATTAATTAACTAACTAACTAATTAATTCACTAACTAATTAACTAACTACTTAACTAATTCACTAACTAATTAACTACTTAATTCACTAACTAATTAACTAATTAATTCATTCACTAATTAACTAATTAACTAATTAATTCACTAACTAACTAACTAACTAAATAACCAACTCATTAACTAATAAACTAACTAATTAATTAACTAACTACATAACTAACTCATTAACTAACTCATTAACTAACTAACTAATAAACTAACTAACTAACTAACTAACTAGCTAGCTAACTAGCTAACTAACTAAATAACTAACTCATTAACTAACTAATAAACTAACTAATTAATTAACTAACTAAATAACTAACTTATTAACTAACTAACTAATAAACTAACTAATAAACTAACTAATTAATTACTAACTAACTAAATAACTAACTCATTAAGTAACTAACTAATAAACTAACTAACTAATTAACTAACTAGCTAATTAACAAACTACTGTAATAACTGTTTATAACTCACTCAGCTATATTAATCATAGCTTACTAGAATAAGCAAAAACACTGACTTATTCACGTAACTAGTCAATCAGACTACAATACAATATATAGTTTCCAGTGAACATAACGATCATAAATCACAGCAACCTCATTGTTTATTAAAGCTGAATATATTTTGTCCATTGATATTTATAAATTTTAAATGAAGTGCTTACGCGTAAATATTGTACTTTTAAATATATTTAAAAGCGTATTGTTAAATATTTAAAATTAGAAGTATTCAAATCCTAAAAACCTGAAAATCAAGTATATAATATATTTATAGCGTTAAAATACATCCAGCTCACTTAGTAAGCTTAATTAATATTATCTGGCACCTAGGATAATTATATATTTAAATATATCAGGGTGGCAGGGCACAATATCCTGAATTTCACTCAAATCCAGGGAATGAATTTTGAAAAAAAAATTCTAAAATGATAGAATGACATCCTTAACAGTTTTTCGACAATTCATTCTTTTCATACATTTTCGAGGTATATTAATTGAATTAATTTGATATAAATATAATACAAATTTCTACGACACAACGCTCATAAATTTTTGTGGTGTAGTTGAAAAAAATTTATAAAATACATACTGAAAATCTATGCATGATGACAGATTACACATCTTGACAGTAGCGGACGCTTTATACAAGGGTGGGGGGGATGTGTGACGATTGTTTTTCGTGCAGCAAATATCAGTTCACAAGTCATTTCTAGCCTTTATACAGCATCGAGTTAGATGTGTATTTTGTTATGCGGGATACCCTTTCATTAAGGTTTTTTATTGAATTTCACAACCTAATTATTTGTTAATCAGCTATATCGTTTATATACTAAAAAGGTTTGGAAGCTGTTGGCAAACCTCAATTTGCATCAGGCACGGATTTTCTGGGGGGGGTGCGGGGGGGTGCGCAC